AGAAGAGGGAGAGGAGTGGAGAGGACAGGACAGATGGACATGAAGGACATGGAGTTGAAGAGGGGTGTGTTTGTTATGCGTACCAGTCAGTGCAGTGTGTGAAATCTGGACCGCGCGCGCTTGTGTGTGTGTTAAGGGGAGGAACCTCTGACAGTTAAAGCCGGGGCCGGGTCAGAGAGAAAGACAATTCTGCAGAACTGAGAGAGGCTGAAGAAAGAGAACACTCACAAAAACAAGTGTCCTATTATATACACACACACACACACACACACACACAAATAGTTCCTGATCAGTGACAGACACACACACACACCTCCATTACTGGACCGTGGACTGACCTCTCCAGGATAGACCCTCTCAGGACTCCCTTTTCCTTCATCATGTACCAGCACCAGCCGAGCTCCTCGGGGCTCCAGGAGGTCTCCACCAAGCGACTTGTCCGGGATGGAGCCTGGAGGGTGAGCTCAGGGCGGTACTGCCGTTGGGTCTGTCGATCAGGGGTCGCACCTCTTTGGCTGCTGTTGACGACTTTGCTGCTTCCTGGAGCCTGGAGTTACCTGAACGAGGAGCAAGAGGAACTGCTGGTCGAGCTCCACAACCACTACAGGGGACTGGTGACGCCATCCGCCTCTGCTATGCTGCCTTTGGTAAGAGACACATTTGGTGCCTGCAGACGGCGCTACGTCTGTTGCAGGAGAAATGTGCAAAAGTAGATCAGTATTTGTATTTATAATTAAGGTAATTGAAATAATTTATGGTCGCCCCCTGCTGTTAGGTGAGCATGTGACAACGAGGGCGGCTGTCAGAGGAAGCTTTTGTCGTCAGCGCGGGAATCAGGAAAATCAGATATTAGCAAAATGAGGGAGAATTCACAGTGACAGTATTTGCAATTCACACAGACTGCCACAGGGGGCGCCATTTAGTATGTAGTTTCTCTGGGGGCTCAAACCCAGGACCTTCTGCGTGTAAGGCAGGTGTGATAACGGCTACACTATGGAAGCACTAGACCCGGTAGCTGCTAATCTACCGGTACCTTTCGTTGTCAGTTTGAATTACGAAGTGAGATAAATTAGAATAAAAGGGTCCAGAAAAGTCGCAAAATTATACATTTGAACGTACTGATAACGATGGAAATGGATGACCAACGTTTGTGTCTGATTGAGCTGGAATTCTGTCGAGGAGAATTGTTGTGAGTTGTTTAAAAAAAATTCCTGTTTGTATGTTAGAAATGGATGACCAACGTTTGTGTCTGAGCTGGGATTTTGTCGAGAGGAATTGAGTTGTTTAAAAAAAAATCCTGTTTGTATGTTCTTTGACGTTAACAGCAGGGGGCGCACTGAGAAGAATCCCCAAAAGCGTAAATCAAGAATAAGGAGGAGGCAAAACGGGAGCAAATTGCTTTAGCGGTGCATTTTGAAGTCGATTAAAAACGATGACATTTGCTGTACGAACAACCAGATGAAATGCGCAGAAAGAATGATGAAGAATTAAGCAGGAAACGGGTCATAACATCTGGAGAGGAGACAGAGATTTCCAGACAAAACCTTTGCAACACTGAGTCTGACAGCAGGGGATTTTGGGGAAACAACAACTGAAGCAAATACTCATCCTTCAGCACATCATACCTCTGGCGTTATAGTCAGAGGTATGCTCATTTTTCACTAATCTATTTAGACAGACATCATTCTCCTTCAATAATGGGATTAAACAACAAACCACTGAGCCATGTGTGGAGGACATAGCTGGACACTGCTGCTGTCTCGGCCAAGGGGACAAATATGTGAGGTTAGAACGTCTACTCAGAAGTTGTACGCACCAGTTACATTACGGCCCTAAAATAACATACTTGAATTTCTAGTTCAATCGAGTAACACATTGGGTGGCGCCCTTGTTAGCAGGTTAGCATGCTTGTTAGCAACAATCCTAACAAGGACCCTAGAAATCTAGAAATGGGTCGCCATTTAATATATATTGAAGTATGTTGGGAAAATGAAAGTATTTTCTTTGTTCTTGATTCTTGATAATAAAACAGCTTAGAGTCAATACACTAAATCAGAGGTGTCAAACTCAAATTCACCGTTGGCCAAAATTAAAACCTGGGACGAAGTCGCGGGCCAAACTCAATATTTTGTATATTAAGCAATTGTAATATAGTATAATTGTGCATGTTTTTCTTTCTCTCCAGTTATGCAATTTTTTCATAAGGAATCAAACTTTAGTTTTGCGAAACAATGAATCTGGAAGACCCAAAGGTTAATATTATACCGTAATTTCCGGACTAAGCTGATACTTTTTTCATACGTTTCAAACCCTGCGGTTTAAACAATGATGCGACTAATTTATGGATTTTTACAAGCTAACAAAGTTCATACCTCTAGCTATCAATGACTTTTCTGGTAGGCTACTGTGTGTTATACTAGTAGCGTACATCTGTCTGTGAATGGCTGTGAGCGTATATGTGCGTAGGGCACACGAGAGAGAGATCGGTAGCGAAAGTTTACAGCAGTTGTCGCCCTGTCATGTTTAAGTGTGAGTTGGTTATACAGGAGCTGTTAACACTCTGTTTATGTTCTGTTGTGGTCAGTGGGGCTGATAATAAAGACCCCAACTTCACTGTTTCTGTTTACGTCTGCTGCGGACAAGCACAAAGTGAAGGGAGTTAGCCCCGGAGCTAATGTTAGCTTTAGCCCTGGAGCAGATCACAGTATATAGCGGCTATATAATAGCGGGCCAGCTCTAGCACATATTTGATATGATCTCACGGGCCAAATACAATTACACTGTGGGCCAGATTTGGCCCCCGGGCCTGAGTTTGGACTGTGTGCGGGTAAACTATCAATTCTAATTTTTGTCTTCTTAGACTTTTACCGGAGGTGAATTAACTTTATGTACCAACTCTCCTGCCATCATGTTTGCCTTCATCAGTATTTTTTTGCCCTAACAGTTAGGCAGAATAAAGTAAAAATAGGTATTATATAACAAGCCAGTAATTTATAAAAGCAGTTGTGATAATTACAAGACAGCATGCTACTTGATAAGTTATTTTGTATTATTTTAAAGTGAATGTGAAGTGAATTAGAAATTAAAGTAAAATATAAAGTTTAATGCATTGCCTCTCAAATGATTACAAATACAGAGCAGTGGCACATGATTGGATAATAACTTGGGGATAAATATACCTGACTTGAAGCAATGCAATCAACGGAAAAGCTATGAAACGAATAGAATAGTCTATTTTGTATCATTTAATGAATATTCATAAAAAAAATAAATAAATAAAAATAGTGAAACATAAGTCACTGATTCTGATACTGGCCCCACCACTGAAACAGACTTATACATGTGTCTCTGGAGGTTTCGCCTATTCTTCTATTCTAAGTGTACTTAGTTTCGACAACTAAGTAGATGTTTTATGATCTGCCAAAATCTGGAAAAGTGTCAAAACTACATTTCAGACTACATCATTGTAATGATCCCAACCCCTGCACTAGGTTGTTCCAATCATACTAACCGGACCCTGACTTTACTCACGTGCAAGATCGCGATCACGTACAATTAAAATACTTAGCATAGCTGCTCACTTAGCACAGGTCTAAATAAACATCAGCTTTTATATGTAAACACTAGAGGCACTAGAAGTTAGTTATAATCTGTAACAAATAGGGGAGACAGCCTTTGATTAGTCTAAGTTTTAACATAAAAACAATATCAAAGGAACAAACCTAACTACTAGCCACTGAGAAACATTCCGGTTCATTCTTGGCTCTCTACTTTCTCCTGGTGCTTCTTCCTCTTTCTGCCTGTTGGACCAGAGTTTGTCGTCCAAATGTTTGACCGGTGTCCTGTCAGTTTATTGTACCTGACAAAACGGCATACGCTAGGGCACACGTGTCAAAACTCCGGCCCGCAGTGTAATCATATTTGACCCGTGAGATCATATCAAATGTGTACTAGAGTTGGCCCGCCAGTATATAGCTACTATATATTAGTAGGATTTATGGGCTATGTTATAGCAACATGTTTTGTTGTTGTTGTTGTTGGCCTGTGCAAAAAAAGATTCAAATAAAAAAAAAATTACTCCAAAGGCTACAGATAAAGAGACAGAATAAGAAACAAACACTATTGATGTGTGTTTTATTTCAAATTTAATTCAGAATATTAAACTTTGGTTGTTCCAGATTCAATGTTTATGCAAAACTAATGTTTGTTTCCATATCGGAGAGAAGGGTAAATATTAAGTTTGGCTCTGCGACTTGATCCCAGTTTGTAATTTCGGCCCATTGTGAATTTGAGTTTGAGTTTGACACCCTGCTTTTGTGAAATATTGACTTATTAATTCGTTTTTTTACTTAAGACTTATTTGACATCACAGTCGATACTTAGTTGAAAAGTTGGTTAATGACGTTATCACGTTGACATAAGAGAATCTCCAAAGACTCACACGTCCAAACAACAAACACGTAACTCGCAATATATTATTTACGTGGCATCTGTGATTGGAGATAACACAGCAATCGATTGCACGAGAATTGTCCGCTTGTGTAGCTGCACCAGTGATATATATGTGAAAGTATAATCTGATATGTGAAAATGCCTGACCCTAAATAATTAAAAATATAAACAGTGGGAGACGTGCAAAATTAATACAAAAACAAACCAACCTAAAACACTAGAGGGAAGTATGGAGCTCACCTGAGAGCCTGTGAAACACCTGTCCCTCCACCGACTGGGCGGCCGTGTGGTCACCGTTTCTGCAGGACTCATACAAAGAACAAAGAAAGAGAAGCAATCATTGTTAAAAACAACATCAAACTACGGCCCGTTCAGCTTTTTATTCCAGGCCGCCAAAGTTTTCCAAAATTATACAATTTATTTATATTATCATTATACTTCTGCCTTTTTCCTGCAATGCCCACGTTTCCCCAATAGATGGTGTAGAAAAGGCTAAAAGCATTTTTAGGATTTTAGCGTTAAGCATGACTTTTACATGTCATTTATCATGTCATAAATTTAAAACAGGCCTCCATACTGACCAACAGACCGCATGGAGGACGTGGAGAACAAAGAACGGCAGGTGTGGCCTCACCTGAATATATATATGCGACCACTAAAGTGCCCTCTAGTGTCAGGGAGGGCAATGACCTGCCACATGGCATACTATTTTGACACAGTCACGCATGTTCCTGAAAACCCATCCTCAGGTCTTCTCAAGAACAGAATAGAATGTGTGGATCAAACAGTGTCTCATTACAATTCAAAGAAAAAAAATTGAAATACATGATAACATGTATATTCTTATATGTACAAACCACTGTATGAGTTGCTGCCACCGAGTAACAGGGGGCTTGTTAACAGTCGAGCATTACAGCAGTGGTACACTTATGTCCAACGTGCCATATTCTATTGGAGGCCCCTCACGCCCTCCCACTGACACCCCACCACGACCCCCCAGGGGGCCTCGCCCCACTATTTGAGAAGTTAGGTAAAGATTCCAGCTGTTTTCATTTTTTTTTTTAACAAAGCATGCCACTATTTGAGAAGTACTGAGTTAGGTAAAGATTCCAGCTGTTTTCGATTTTTTTTTTTTTAACAAAGCATATTACTTACATTTAAGAATCTTTACTTCAATTAAAGTAGGATAATTTTTGAGTCATGGATTTTGACAACTAGCTCCCCTTAGTACTCTCTCCTCATATCTGGTTTCCAGAGCAAGATTGGCTAATTGAGTTTTAGTTTTAGACCTGCAGAAGTGAATTGGTCAAGTTTGTTCTTATATCATATTTGTACAGCCTTGAAAAATGCACTAGATCAAAACAAATATTCATAAAACTCTTTAAATTTAGATTTAAAATGTAATGGAAACAGTGTTGTCGTTCTTCCTGGTGTGAATTTGGTCATGGAAATTTTCAGGACAGAACCGGGGTCCTCATTATTTCACTGGCATCTGTGGGGAGATTTGTTTCAAACACGTGGCTAGATTAGAAAAAAATCCAATGGACCGCATCCCGTCCACTGGCCAGAGTTTGCTCACATCTGCGCCGAACAGTCGTGCTCCACATTTTGTGTTGACTGCACAAAGAAGTCACATGTCACATGACACAAACTAATGTGTTGACTGCACAAAGAAGTCACATGACACAAACTAAAATCAGAACAGAAACAAAAAAAAAAACAACTGTATCCACAGCAAACAGAGGATGAAAATCCCAGAGACTTTCATGTTCGCTCCTCTGTTATATTTTTCTTTTGTTTACAAAAGCCAGTGCCGCTCTAACCACAGTTAACCACCAGATTTTGGAAAGACACAACGGCTTCAGTGACAAACCTTCACTGTTTCTCCTAAAAGTCTGTGAGCACACAACAACACCGGGAAAAGCATTTTTTTTTTTTTTTAAACAATTTTTTTTTATATGAAACAGAACGGCTGAGTGAAGTAAGGCGAGGCTGAAGTTCCAAGAACCAATGGGTGTTTCCCTCCTCGGGCTTCATCATGGTAATATTGTGTATGCAGCTGGGAAATCATCTCCTCATTACAGACGAGAGGGGGAGGAAGGAGAAGTGGGAAGAAGGAAGAAAAAAGGAAGAAAAGAGAGGGAAAAGACAGGTGTGGGGGAGAGAGAGACAGAGAGAAAGACAGAGAGAGAGAGAGAAAGGAAACAAGTGTTCTTATGTGTTCTCATCCCAATTCCCAATAGCAGCCCATTGGGACATGCTCCTTTCTAACTGAAATGTGGGAGAGCGACAGATTAAAGAAAGGTTCACAGTTCTTTTGTTTTTTTTTTTTTACACTTTTCTCGTGTTTTCCGTCCAACCTCTGCTTATTTTCTCAGTGTAGCGTAAATTAAAGCCTGTTTGTACCTGGTACCTTAAGTCACACTACGTCGTCCTCTGTCTAGTAGTTGTACACAAGTACGACTATGAAGAGAGAGAAAAAAAAAAAAACTTTCCCCCCGCCACGATGCTCTTCTCATCAAATACTGCGCCCAGTGTAACACTCCAGACCCAAAAAACATCCAAAGTACAACCGCTTTGTTGGCTCCACTTCCTGTTCCAGCTAACACTGATGGCTGAACTCACCCTGCCAACGATGACAGCCTCAGCTCTTTCTCCACATCCCTCTCAGCCAGAGAGACGATCTGGCAAGATTTCAACTCTGACCTCCAAACCACTTCATTTTGAACTGACTGGACCAAGAGAGGTTGCATCATTTCCGATCTCATTTTTCAGAGCCGTCTGAAGTAGATAGTTTACCTTAGGTCTTTCACAGACTTACTGAGATATAGCAACAGGTGGTGGTCTAGTGCAGGGGTGTCAAACATATGGCCCGCAGGCCTGAACTGGCCCACGGGAGTGTTGAATCTGGCCTTTCAACAGTTCATGTTTACGGAGCCCCTAAAGTGACATGGTGAAGATAAAAAAAAAGAGAAATGTATCTCGTGCGCACGAGAAAGTATATCTAAGACATTTTGCCACACATACATACAGGGTAATACATTAAAATAACAAACAATCATGTACAGTACGTACGGTTGGGAAATCTAAGATACCGGCATGTCATGCGTGACATATGTACTGTATATATGGTGAGCCTTTAATTAATGTAGGATACCTCAGTTCGACACAGTGCCCTCCGATCTCAACGACTGCGGGCTCCTGCGGGCCATACAAAATGGCTTGGCGGGCCACATTTGGCCCCCGGGCCTTGAGTTTGACACCGGTGGTCAAGAGCCTTTGTCAATTCACACCATGGGTGGAGCCCAGTCCTCCATCCATTCAGCCATTTAATTTGGCACTCGACGCTAACTGATGCCTTTCTCAGTGAAAACAGATGATAATCCTATACCATACGTAAACCTGGCCTACAAGATAAAGTTAAGGCTCTATGCTGGGTCTACGACAATCACAAGAAACCAACACTCAAGATGGCTGCCTCATCACAATACTGTCAACCTGTCCGTATTTACTCCTGAAAGCCAACAGGAGAAACCTTTTCCATGCCACCCAGAACCATAACCCTCATCCTCAAGGAATTCCCATGAGAGGTTCAAGGTGCAGGAGCTAGACCAGGCATTGGCAAACTAAGGCCCGGGGGCCAGATGCGGCCCATTCATTAATTTGGCCCACCAAACTTTTCCAAATTATATAATTTATTTATATTATCATTAAACTTCTGCCTGTTCCCTGCAATACCCCCTTTTCCCCAATAGATGGTGTAGAACATGATAAAATCATTCTAGCATTTTAGCCTTTATGCATGACTTACATGTCATTTATCTTAGTTAATTCAAGTCAAAAAGGTTGCCCACGAGCTAGACCATTGTTTCCCAAAAACTGGGTCGCGACCTGCAGGTGGGTCGCAATTTTTTTTGGGGTCATCTCACATCATGTTTCCTAGGAGTTTACGAATAATTTCTATTTACTTGGGTCGTGAAGGTTTGTGATTTTTAAAATAGAAATAGAAAAAAAATAGAAAAAAAGTTTTGGGAAACACTGAGCTGGACCGGCGGTGGACAGAGGTTGACAACCGTGCGCCTTCGTACACATCGTGACCGGTGAACGTTTCACCTTTTACATTCATCAAACCCATGAATTCTCATATGGCGTAGTGTGTCACGAACACACAACACAGCAAAAACTCCTGACTTCATCAGAGCGACGAGTCACTGTTTGTTAGAGACGCTGATAAACAAATCAGCGAGGAAGGGACCGAAACAAAAATCTGCCTGTTACCAGTTACATTACCTCCAGTTGTGTGTGTGTGTGTGTGTGTGTTTGTGTTTGTGTGTAAATGTGAACCAAACGTCCCAACACAATTCCGATTTGTGCCTGTGAGACAGAGACGGCTAGGAATGTAAAGAGCCCTGAGTATTGAGTGTGTTGTGTGTCATCACTGATAGAAACACACACACACACACACTATTGTTTATTCTTTTAGTATATCAGTGACAAAGACTCCAACTATGAGACATGGGTGGAGACACGATTGTTTCCATGTTCTTTTGTTGTTTTGTTTTCAGATCAGTGGAACAGATTCGATCGGGTTCCATCTGGAATCACAGCGAGCCGAGTCTATCGTCACGTTGGTATTAAATTCTGCTACGGTCAGCTATCGGGTTCTGTTGTTGTGAAGTTGTTGAAAAACTCACCGTGAGGGGAAAAAAGCATCGCCTGCACCTCCATCTGTGATCAGGGTCCACGGGGCGATGATGCTCTCTTGGTGTTTTCTGGATAAAAAAAACAAAAAAAAACAAAACAGAAAAGTACATGAACATATTCATTGATTTTTTTGGGGATATAACAGCAGTGATTTGCAAAAAAAAAAAAGCCTGCCCGAGTGTTAAACTTGTTTTCGATTTTCTCTTTTCCTTTTTTTTTTTTTCTATAAATGACAGATTGTTAAATAATGTTCTGACCGTTGCCTGTAAGCATTGAGTTTAAACCAGCGTCCGAGCCAAAGATCTGCCATCAGACTGAAGACAGAGATTATGTCATCGCAGTAAAACAACTGGACGGTGGTTTCCATGAGAGGTTTTGTAGAGCAAAAACACTGAAGAAAAAACAAAAAAAAAAGTCTCGGAGTTGTGTTTTGAGTTATGAGGATTAAAAGCAGCCCTGTAATTGTAATTTGAGGAAAACAACAGGGGTTTAACCCGAGGCAATAGAATTTTATGGCATTTATTTTTAAAGCTCTGTGACTGACAAGTGCAAATCTTTATCTTGGGGGTGGTTCCTAGACTACTGCTAAATACATACGTGTAGGTGCAAAGACATACTGACACGTAACCAGTAAACACGTGGCCGTCGGCGTAACAGGAAAGACAGATGTTAGCCACTAGTTTAAAAAATTTGGAGCAAGGTAAGGTTTTTAGTTTTAGGTTTTTGCCAATTTGGCCATGTTACGAATTATATGAAAAATTTCAAAATCAATAAGTATATATAAATTTTTGAATTTTTTTTTTTTTTAACTTTAAGCTTTAAGTGGGGGCAGAGCAATCCCAAAACCAGATAAGTTAGTGAGTGTTGAGTCAGGAAAAAAATAAACTATGCCAAAATAATGACTTCCGTACCAGATTGAACACGACCCAGGATAACAATGACTGCCTCCAGCGCTGTTAACCATATTGGTGCTGGTGGAAATTGGAATGCCGTTGGTCAAGGACCGCCGGGAAAGAGAGCAGGACGATGTGTTAGGAGGCAGAGGGAGAACGAGAAAGACAGGAGTAAAGAGTTCAGGGTAGGGACTTTGAACGTAGGAACGACGACGGTGGAGCGCTGACAGACGGGATGGGAGGAAGAAGGGTAGATACTATATCTTATGTGTTCAGGAGACCGGATGAAAGGGAAGCAAAGCCAGGGAGATGGTTTTCAAGCAGGAGGAGGAAAACATAGAGAAGTGGAGGTTTGCTTTGGAGCAAAGATGAACGAAGGTCAACAAGACACAATATGTGTGTACGAGGCAAATGGAATGATAAAACCCGCTAGGAGTAGAGGAAAAGTGGATTTAGTTTGGAGCAAAGATGAACGAAGGTCAACAGGAACAAGACACAATATGTGTGTAAATAAGAACGAGGCAAATGGAAAGATAAAAGCGCGAGGAGTAGAGGAAAAGTGGATGAGTTTAAATTCCTAGGGTCAACCATCCAGGGAATCGGATGGTTTTGTCTAATAGACAAAAGCCTGAGTTGGAGGTGGCAGTGATGAAGATGTAGACATCTTACCTCAAAGTGACCAGGATGGACAGGGTGGACGAAGATGATCAATTTTGGTGACCCCTAAAGAGAACAGCAGAAAGAAGACGTGAATTATAATAATAATAATAATAATAATAATAATATATAAACACAAAAATGTCATCATGATGGGCCAAATCCAGGCCATGGCCCTTGAGTTTGACACCTGTGCTGTAACCCTAGCTTACATAGCAGCAGCAGGTCTACCGCGGTCAGTGGGTTTCACTCGGGTGAACGTAAACAACGGTGAAATATATAGCAGAACATAAGCCGTGAACTTGGCTAGCATTAGCATGCTCATAAAATTCATTGAGCTATCAAGCTACAGTAAGCTATCCTGTTTTGTTTTTTTTCGCAGCAATGGGACACCAGTCTGAAGGTGATAGCTGAAGGCTACGCTGCTAAATGTATGTGGAACCATAACCCAGACTTGGAGGATACTGGAGAGAACCTGTTCGCTGGCACCAAAGCTCTGGACCTCAGACAGGCTCTGGAGGAGTGGTTCCTTGGTGAGTCTGTAAATACAACGCACGTTTTCGAAGGGATGAAACCAAACACCGAGCACAGATGTAAACAAACAACAGAGAGGGGCTAATAAACGTACAGTACGCTAATTAACTAATGAACGCACACAGGGTGTGGTTTGAATTCTTTTACTTGGACCTTTTTGCCATATGTTTTAAGAATCTTTGGAATGGACCAGTGGGACTAGAGTATCACATTTCAATCAAAGACTTGTTTCTAAGTAAATTATTTCTTAAAGACGATCTTGTAAATACTTTTTGCATGCATTTGATATCTTCCCATTATGTATACGTCAGGTTAACGGCTGTCTTATCTTAGCCTGAAGCATTTAAGTGAATTCTACTAGAGGTAATGCTGTGATTTACGATGTGTCGTTACTGTATTTCTTTAGGTTTACATGGTAAAAAAAAATGTGTTCGTAGGAAACCGTTTGACCGTTGTTTTCCCTCTGCAGAACATCTGGACTACAACTTTAATAACAACAGCTGTGACGAAGACAAGATGTGTGGACATTACACACAGGTCCCTCGCACACACGCGCGCACACTCACAGTCTGGTTTTCACGAGTCGTGAGGACTTCACACATTAACAAAAATATCGCCGTAACGAAGCATTTTTTTAAAAAACAAACAACAACAACAACAACAAAAAATGCAGTATATTATATATATATATAACTGTGCATCCTTTCGTGTGTGTGTGTTTGTGTTACAGATGGTGTGGGCAGAAACACACAGAGTGGGCTGTGCGCTCCATCTCTGCAGTACCCTGCAGGGTCTGAACTGGGACAGAGCTTCCTTTCTCGTCTGTAACTACTATCCAGCGTCAGTACTTTTACTGTTACTCTCACTCTTACGAACAACCACTACAAATATTAACACTGCATTCTACTTCCCAATACATCTGAGATCCCATATCAATCTTCAGAATCTTTTGCCGAGTTTTGTCTTTACCACTGAAAGAACAACACTGCCCTCGTGTGGACGATAGCAGATATTACAGCGGGATAACAACGACGCCTCACTTGTTGACCCGACGTCATAACAACTTTGTATTGATCTACGCTTGTTTGTGTGCGTCACCCTAGAGGAAACTACGAGGGAGAGCGTCCTTACGTCGAAGGTGATTGGTGTTCGAGGTGTCCGGAAAACATGCAGAAGTGTGAAAACAACCTCTGTGGTGAGAGAGTCAAAACATTTCAGTTATGCATTTATATATTTCAGTTCGGGTCATTAAACAAAAGAGAATCAAACTAAGGATGGATGGATGGATGGATGGATGGATGGATGGATCGATGGATGGATGGATGGATGGATGGATG